ATGAATCAAATATGTATCTTTATTCATTTACAATAAACTCATAAAGTACATCATTCTGATTGAAGCTAAGGGCATACAAAACTGTCTAACAAAGAGTCTGTTTGAAGTCATTACTAGCCAAATGCCGTAGTGTCCAGACACCATAGCTATCAAGTACCAAGGAAGAAGCTCGAAAGCATTCACCTTCACCAGGTATTGGAAAGAAAACCTTAACCTTACTCAAGCATCCCTAGAGAAAACCTCCAAAAGAATGTAGAAATGGGCAAATCATGGTAGAAGACTAGACCACTTTCAAGTAGGTGACATAGTAATGTTCAAACTCCACTCAAACAACCTGCACCTTTTTAGGAGAGTACACCCAGGTCTCATAAGGAAATATGGAGGACCTTGTGAGATTGTTTCCCGAATAGGAAAAACGCCTCAAGCTATCCTCATGGATAAAAGTCCACCCTGTTTTCTATGCCAACCAACTTAAGCCTCATCATGCTGATACCCTTGATAACACTCGAAACCAACCTCATTGACCTCCACCATTGTTTCAACCACCCAAAACCCGCAAGGTAGTTTCCATCTATGACCATAGGACATCCCCCTCTGTCTGGACTCCCTAGCGATAATACTTGGTGAAGTGGTCCAGGCCTGAAGAAGAAGAAAGTTGAGAGCTTGCTGAAGATCTTTTGCCTTTTGCTGACAAAGTTAAATAGTACCTGAAGTAGCAATCTATAGGACATAGTTTGAGTTGGCGGGGGAGGTTGTCACAAGGGAAACTTGCCAAAATGCCATCAATGTGTCAATGTATGAGTCTTGAGTGGGGTATTGTACTCTATGAGTCTTGAGGGGGCTATTGTACTGTTTTTGTATGGGGTATTGAAAATGGTATTATTGTAAATAGTAATATGATTTTTAAAGGATATTGATGTAACTAAGACGTAATTTGCGGAGTAGATAGTTGAATGTAACTAAGACATAATTAAGTACGAAATCTCCTCTCCTTGCCATATTTAATTAATTTGCGTAGCATCGTTATTGGTTTTATTGTTCGTTGCCTTTAGTCGAGTCAATCGATCGCCGTAAGGGGACTCATCGACTATCCCCGTGACAATCCGAAGCAGCGCGCGTGGCGAGAGTAAGAAAAAGGGGTGCGTCAGCGTCAGCCGAAAATGAAGTAGCGAGAAAGTAGTTTATCTGCTAAACTTTGGCTACGCCGCCCCTCTGGCCCTGCTACCCAACGCATAACTATAACTCTCCTCCGTACCTCTCCCCATTGAACTCCAATTTCTTTCTTCTTCAAATGTTCATTCTCTTCTAATTACTCGCTTCAAAAGTGAAAACCACAACCACAAGTCCGGAGCACCTTTCAGAAGGTAGAGAAAATGCAGGCTTCGATCTCTCTGTCCAGTTCCTCTCCTTCTTCACTCGCCTTTGCTAGATCCGATCGCGCAGTTGAATTCTTCTCCACTAATGCATCCAAGCCTTCAAGTTTCCGTTTCTGTGGACTCAGAGGAGAGGCCTTGGGATTTTCTACTTTAAAACGCTCTGGTTGTAATCAAGTTGCATTGTCGCAGCGAAGGCTCTTTAAGAAGTTATCAGCTTCGTTGAAGGACAATGGAGTTCCTTCCAAGGGGTTTGATTACGATCTTGTTATCATTGGAGCTGGTGTTGGAGGTCATGGAGCTGCACTTCATGCGGTCGAGAAGGTTTGGTGCTTTTTTTTTGCTTGATTGGACCTGGAAATTGAGTTTGTTTGCTTTCGTTTAACTTAGTTCGCAATTATGCTGATAGTTGGAAGCGTGAGGATCTGTGTAATTAGTTTTCTGGACCTTCTTCTATGTTACTTTTGTCTGAAGGTAGGGGTTTTATTAGTTGTATTTTGGTTGAATTATCTGTATTTTGATTAGCTCGTATTAGCATTTGAAATGTTATAGTTAGCTAATTGTGAATTTTCCCGCGATACTTGGACTTTTAGTTGTCGTAGCTTAGTGAGACGAAGTGAATCTACGGTATCAACAAGAATTATAATTGAAAATGCGGAGTTTCAATAGACAAAGCGAATCCACTTGAATGACCTGTTTCCTACAGATGGGAACTGAGAATTGATTCGTGTGTCGAACAACCCTATTTCTATTATCAAAAATGATTGCTGTTCAGCACTGTTAGCATACTTAATGTGAACTAGGTAGATGTACTTTTAGTTTCAGAACTTCTCTGCATAGTGTTCTCTAGAACTATTGCCTTCCTAGAGATGTCAGGGGGAACAGTTTATGATGTACAACATTTTCCAACGAGTTTTTTATGACTTAAAATCAAGCATGGTCAATGTGATCATGCAGGTCTCATAAATGGATCTTTTATCATCTTATTTAAGGTACTGAGTTAAAAAGAATATTTCCATTCTTTTCATAAGTTGCCTTTACTAATTTTTTTCCGGTCATTTCTCTTATTTCACTGTATGTGATTAATATGATCTGAGAAAATAATAAATGACTGTTGCAGGGTCTAAAGACAGCTATCATTGAGGGGGATGTGGTTGGAGGAACATGTGTAAATCGAGGCTGTGTTCCTTCTAAAGCTCTTCTTGCTGTGAGTGGTCGGATGCGCGAGCTTCAGAGTGAACATCACTTGAATGCTTTGGGCTTGCAGGTAATATAGCTGATAGCAATTACACTGTCCCTGGTGGCTATTAATCTTCATGATGTTTGGTGAGATGAGATCTGCTGCAAACACAAGTGTGTGAACCAGACTACATAACCAATCACGAGTGGACACGCCAGTGTTCTGTACACATGGGACTCACATGTGGTGTTTTGAGTCTCAACATTGGAAATTGGAAAAGTAAGATGTTTTGGAACATAACACAATTGACAATAGTTTATTGTAGTTTTAAACACATAAGTGTCATTAGGTGCCACATAAGGCAACTGAACTGGAAATGCCCCCTGTAGGGGGAACATCAAAAAGGAATTTCACCTAACATCCCCATGCACATAACCAATGGGAAGGGTGGTACAAGCATTTGAAGTTAAAATATGCCCAATCAAACATGGTCTTGATACAGTAAAGTCAAATTGCCTATATGACACTTACGTGGAGTCTAAACAGGAATGCAATACCAAGGTTCCAAACACTGCCCTAGTAGCTTGAATGAAGGAATATGCCTAGTGGCGTGCATATCTATACTTGTCTGTAGGTTTTCGGTTTTCCTAATTGGATCAATTAGGGAACCTTGTTAGATGACTTCACCTTTTTCTTTTCGTAAAAGAATTTTGTGCCTTATCCAATCATCTATTGGATAGAGGAACTTCTGGATTGAACACTTGTTTAAGCTATATGGGCCATATAAATTTGTGATTTATTTATTTTTGAAAATGTGCACAGAAATGACCTTATTTTGTTCATATGGCATGGGGTTATGAGCTGGAATTTCCCCATTAATAGAGTGATGAGAGGAACAAGTGGGGCCCAAACAACCAGATTGCCTCATGGAATCTGTTAACCAGTCTTTTTAGGCCAAGCTTCCCCCTCTCCCCCTTTCTTTTCACTTTGGTTGTAGATATATTCTCAGTTACTTTATTCAGAAGGAAAAAAAGTCTCAACCTGCTGAGAGGGTTCAAAGTTGGAAGATAAGCAACTCACTTGTCTCATTTGTTTTTTTGCTGATGATACCATTTTATTCTTGGAGGATGACCTGGAGAATCAATGATTTAGAAAAGGCAATCACTTGTTTTGAGAAGGTGTTGGGACTTCAAGTATTTTTTTTTTAAGAGTAGCATTGTGGGAATAAATACAAGTGAAAGCTTGGTGAACAACTTTAAGGAGGTCCTAGGATGTAAAGTGGAAAATTTTCCCATCTCTTGGAAATGCCCTCAAAGGAAATCTGAGAAGCCAAAGTATTTGGGACCCAATGGTGGAGAAGTGTGAAAAAATATTGGCCACGTGGAAGAAAGGTTACCTCTCAAAAGGAGAAATGCTCACCTTAATAATCCTGGGAAGAGTGCCAACGGTTGGGATATCAAGGTGCCAAGGTCCACTTGAATTGAGCAAAAGCCAATAATCCTTGCAAAAGGTATTTGCTCTACCTGCAATTTATTTATTTCCTTTATTAGATACAGAGTAGGGAATGTGGCTAAAATAAATTCTGGACTAACCTTTGGTGGGGAGAAAACACTTTGGATAACACTTACCTCTGCTTGTTTAACCTCTCCCAAAACCAAGAAGCCACCATTACAAAAAAAAAAAACAAAAAATTCTTTTTGGATTTGTATATATGCAGTMGACTCATAGTGGGCTAATTCATGAGTTGAATAAAATGGGCCCTTTTAACTCAGCAGTAGAGTCACGCCATGGTAAGGCGTAAGTCATCGGTTCAAATCCGATAAAGGGCTTTTTTTCCACGAAACTCCAGTCTTAGCCTCCTGGTTATCAGATTTGCCTCCTCTAACAAGGTAGAACCTAAACTTAAGAAGAGCCTTAAGGGATGTTGAGATTGATGAAATTGCAGATCTGATACATGCCTTAAGAAAGGTCTATTTTCCCCCCTCAAACCAAGACCAACAAATCTAGAAGCTCCACCCTGCCAGGAAGTTCTCAACTAAATATTTTCAGGGCCTTGGTGTCAGGTGATACAAACTCTGGGTTTCCCTTGTAGAAGAGTTTGGATTGCCCACATGCCTCCTAGAGTTTCCTTTTTTGTGTGGGACGCTTGCTTGAAAAGAATTAAACACTTGCGGTTTATTACAGAAAAAGCACAAAGGTAGATTGTGCTTCCTCTCCCGTTCTGCACCTTTTGTCTCAGCAATGATGAGTCAGCTGAATGTACCTTCTACATTGTTCAGAAACAAGGAAGGTTGGGCTTCAATTTCTAAATCTTGATGGTTACAGCCGAGTTTTTCTTGAACATAATGAAGATTTTTTAAGGCAACGGAAGGGAGGAGGTTTAGGTAAAAGTAAAACAGGGGAGACTCTACTAGTACACAGTGGCTCGAGCAGTAATTTGGGGTGTTTGGGAAGAATGAAACAATCACATTTTTGACAACAAAGCTAGATCCATGGGAGACTTGATTTCTCATATAATATACCTGTGCAATCTGTGGGTGCTGAATTTGGAGAATTTCAAAGGAATTATTATGAATATGCTTTAGCAGAATCTGTTGGAACTATTGTTCTCTTCACCCGGTCCTTTAAGAGTCAAAAGCCTCAAGGGAAGATGTCCAGGTGAGAAAGTTAAATGCAGGTTTCTTTCTATTCATCTTCCACAGCAAGGAGGAGGCAGATGAAATTCTGGATAAAGAAATTTCAGTGTCCAGGTCGCTGGAGCTTAGGTTGGGTAGATGAATCTGCTAGTGGGGGCAATTAGAGAATTCAGTAGCAAGAGTCTTGTCTGGATTAATGTCTTTGGGATTCCACTCCATGCCTGGGACCTGAACACATTTCGTGCTATCAGAAATGCCTGCGGATGCTTTAGAAGAGTTGATGCCCAAACATAAAATCTAAAAAATTTGGTAGCAGCAAGAATCTTGGTTGAAGTAGAGCACATTCATCTTATCCCCTTGAGCATGGCTTTAAACTTTGCTGGAGAGTGGTACGATTTGAGGTTGGTGGTTGAAGGCTGCATCCTGTTCCGTTGGATTCAGGAGGATTCATTGGTCTTGCCTTTCCAGGAGTCAGATTGCTCTGCAAAGGAAAAAAGGATGCTGGCTGCTCCTGTGAATGCAAGGCAGGAGGAGGAAGATGATGGAAAGTGAAAGGTCGGGGAGATGGAGGGACAGGCGGAAGAGAGTGGAGAGATGCGGGAAAAGTGGGTGGGGGTGGGGGGGTAAAAATGTATTTTTGCAGCTGGGAACTGAAGAGCTCATTGGTGAAAACGAGCACGTGGTGGGAGTCTTCAAACAGGGAGACATTTCTGAAAAAGTGTTTAGTTCCTCGAGTAAGGATTTGGAGAATACAAATAGTGGGGCCCATGCTTCAAGGATAAAACGGTCTGTTATTAGGAGGCGTGGGGGCTAGCGGCTTAGTCGGAGGTGTTCTTGGAATTCGATGGGGGAGAGTTGAGAAAAGAGTCTTTAAGAAGGGGACAGACTTTAGGTCTCCTTGGAACGCCTCGGATTCTAGTTTGCAGACAGCTGACGCTTCTGATGTTCAAACTCTTGGACAATGCCATTTCAATTGTGAGGTTCCTTCGAGTTCTAAGGAGCATTCTCAAGGCGGTCGTGACGAAGATTTGTCTGTTGCTTTGGCGTTCTTTCTTGGGGTTGAGAAGGAAGAGCCGAAACCTATTTCTTCGAGTCTGGAGTTAAGCCAGGAGTTTAGGGACCCTGTTTCTAGTTTATAGCGAGGAAGTTCAGAGAAGGATCTGGGAGCAGGGGTTGTGGGTAGAGATAGGGCAGAGGAGGGGGTTGAGGACGTGGAGGGCAATTTCAAGGTTTGGAAGGAGGGAGGGGACAAGGAAGAAGAGGATGGTATTTCATAAGTTGAGGGCAAGAAGGTCTCTGACTTAGAGAGTATAAATCAAGTAGAGGGCCATAGGATCGATACTGGTTACCGGGTCTTGGAAGTGCTTGTCGGTAGGTTGGGAGTTGGCAAGTGCAACAGACAAGGGTGAAGCTTTGGAAGTCCCATGGAAGATCAGACCTTCAAGCAATCTCAATGTAGTGCATGTCACGAAGGTGTTCTCCAAGCTTAAGGAGGGCCTGGTGGGAGCCGGACCAACAAGTAAGTATAAAAAGATATACAAAAGGAGAGGGATTAAACTAAGATCTTTGGGTCAGGAGAAATCTTGCCTGGCTTCTTCTTTCTCATCTAATGGGGTCAGAATTAAGCCTCGTCAGGATGGTTCTAACCAGGGGAAGTTGTTCAATCCTGACTTGTTAGAGAAAACTGTTGGGGAGGAGTCTGATTCGAGTGAGGTCTCTCCTAAGGCAGTACAGGAGGATAAGGAGATAGTAGACGATCAAGGCAACAATCAGCCTTAAACCCTAATAGATTTCAGATTAAGAAAAGTAGAAGAAAAGTAAGAGGAAGAAAGAAAAGAGAGGAGAAGAACTGGAGAACACAAAGGTTTGAAAGAAAGGACAGATTCTAATGATCTGCCGCCGCCACTCTCTTAGTATTTATAGGTTATGTTCAGTACATAGGGGAAATGACAGATCTGCCCTCAGTACTTACATGACAAATAAAGCAAATAAAAACTGAAATAACAAACTAACCACCAACTGACTCTACCATGACTGAAACAAATAATTACACATACTGTCCTACGAAACACAGTGGGGACCACAGTTGTGGGGCCCACATCAGTGTTCTCTACAGAGATAAAGAAAGGTGGCGTGGATTTGAAGACTCTAGTCAATAGAGAGGTGGATTGGTAAATCCCTGTGCTTGTTCTCCTTGGGGGGGGGAGAATGTTGTAAGGAAAGCCTTGGAAGCTTATGAGAGAAGAAAGCTTTGAGTAAGGTCTTTGAAGAGTTAGGGGGAGAAACTTGGGGTGAGGAGGGAGGCCAAAAAGAGTTCGGTGAGGTGGAAGAGTGATTTGTGCTATGCAGATGCAGCGATTTGGTGGCACGATTGTTGCAGAAGTGACGTATTTCTCTTGCTTTCTTTGTTTTTTGATGTTCTTGTTGGTTGGTCGTAATAGTGTGTTTGGGGTGGTTTTATCTTAACACCTGCTTTAAGGTTGTATTAAGTTTCTTTTTTCATTTAAGAAAATTTTTCCTTTTACTTATCAAAAAAAAAAAAAAGAGTCAAAAGCCTCCCCCAACTAAGAGAAGAGGAGGAGGTGACTCTGAACCTTGATGGAAGTGCAACCAGAAACCGGGGAACAACATGAATTGATGGTGTGTTTAAGAGGAGGGATGGAAGCTGTTAGTGGTGTTAGTGAAGGGGTATTTCGGTCTTTGTACTTGTTGAGAATGTTGATGTGTACTGTTATTTTAGTTCGAGTGCCTCTTACTTAAATAAGGGCACTTAAGTCTTTTCCAATAAGTTAATAATATAATAACAGGTCTGGCCGAATCTAGGGAGAATTTTTTTCYCTAATTCGAAYCAGACCTTCTCTCTTTTCTTCCTTCTTCTTTCCTCTCCTACTTCTTGCTGTTTACTTTACTTTAYAGTCAACGAACAAGACAGAATTCTAGGGCAGGTCGAACTTCAACAGAAGCCTTATGTGGGTCTTTAGTGAACCAATGGGGGCTGCGGACTACACAACGGATGAAATTTTAGCTGTTCTAATGGGTTTCAGTATCACAAGAAATCAAGGCTTGACTGATCTAGTAGTCAAAGGTGACTCTAGCAACATGATAAAATGGATTGGGGAGAAGGAAAGTGGGCCTTGGAGATTGGCTCACTACTTGGATGAGGCTAGATCTGGTGTTTACAGTGAAAGCTTGTATAGTGATAGAATTATGCCTTTGTAACTTGTGTGTAGTTTGCTTCCATTGTACATTATCTCATGCACTCTCCTTTTCTTTTTTTTTTTTTTTTCTATAACAAGTCACTCTTTTTCTCAAACATTCTGTGAAAAGTGTTCCTCTTGAAACAAAGTAGTGATTATATGACTGATTTATGGTGTGGTATGCCTAATGTTACTGCATGATTCTTCTCCACATTGCACCTTCTGTGTGACCTTTCTTATGTTTTTTTTTTTTTTTTTGGTTCTATAACCTTGCTTATGTTATAGAACCTCTTGTCTTTAATTGCTCTGGGTGAACAGAAGTGCTCAGCACTGGATATAGAACTTTTTGTTTTAGTCACTGATAGTTTACTTTCTTTTCTGGATAACCAACACATATTTGCATCCTAGAAGGTAATTAAGGTATTTTGACATTACTGCAATAGCATGCAGTGATAAATTGCAATTGTCTAACAATCCTAATCTTGTAACTTCCTACTTTAATTTTTCTTCATTTATTGCTTCTTCTGATTCTATTGTACCATATTTATTTATTTATTTTTGCCATGGGCGGGGTGTAGATGGCATCAATGAAGCAATTTCAGTTAATCAATTGTTTAGTTCTGGTAGTCAGATCTAGTGATCTACTACTGATGATGCTTGTACTTGAGCAGGTCCTCATTCAGTATGTCCACAATTATTTTCTAATGGATGTACTATATATTGTCTGCAACCACATTGTGTGGAAGTATTTTCTTCTTTCATATTTCTCTGACATGCAGTTATTTCTGATGATAGGTTTCATCTGCTGGGTATGACAGGCAGGGGGTTGCCGACCATGCAAATAATCTTGCTACAAAAATTCGTAATAACTTGACCAATTCGCTGAAAGCTCTTGGTGTGGACATATTGACAGGCGTTGGCACAATTTTGGTTAGTCATGTATACCATGTAGATTTGTAAAACAAGACATATCATTGTCATTAACTATATAAACCTGTGTTTATGTAATCTGAAAATTCCACCTTAGGTTCATTCCAATAATGTAATTTCATGCTTTTAGTTGTTCATCTTCTTTATAATGCTTAAGACAATGTTATGGCTGGATTTTCTTCAGGGCCCACAAAAGGTCAAGTATGGAAAAGCTGGGTTCTCTGACAATGTAATAACTGCCAAAGACATAATTATTGCTACTGGGTCTGTTCCCTTTGTTCCTAAAGGCATTGAAGTTGATGGTAAGTGCTAATATCACAGGCCTATTATACTGATATTTAGGTTTTATTAATCTTGGGAGATGGATACATTTCTTAGAATTATTCCAAAGTGCAACATCTTCTTAAATTCATAATGCTTTTAATAAATTGCATCAAAAGTGTATCTAAAGTGCTTTTCAATATTTGAAAGTGTTTAACAAGGTGACCATTTTAAGGAAGACAAAAACTGGTCCTCTGTCTTCTGGAGATGCTACCTTGCAATAAGAAAATGCTATCTGATTTATGTACTGAACATCACATGAAAGAAGAAAATCAATAGGCAATATTTGGATCAGGGGCTACAAGACCCACTGAACAACTTGGGGTTTCAATGAAGAGATTTTAGTGGACCTAAAAATCTGCTCAAACAGATAACCAATGCTTGTCTTTGATAGAAAATATAAAAAAATCATTAAAAAGAAGAATAGATAAGGGAAAGTATATAATCAATACTGTGGTTGACTGTATTAATTGGAACTTGGGAAAAGTTTTGGAACTTTTCCCAAGTTCCAATTGAACTTAAAAAGTGGCCAATCATGCTAAGCTTTTACAGAGGCATGACTTGGATGAGACTTCCAATGATAATTCTTGATACTCTGCAGATGTAACACATGGCAAGTTTTGGGGTTAGTAGATCCATTTGATGTGCGGGAATGGTGATTACATGTTAGAGTGATGCTACATATGAGTTGGTCAAACTCTGTTTGCTTATGGTTGTTTTGAACACTATTGATCTGGTAATCATGTGAGACCAATGTTTAGAACTAATACTGAAAATGCTCAAGGCCCCACAAAATGCACCAGATCCATCATATTCGATGTGACCACATGCAGATATAGTTTGACCAATCTGTATGGGTAGTTTTTCTTGAAATAAAATTTTGCTTTCAGTCATGTCTTTGCTTTGGTTTGTTCTCTTAATTCAGCAAAAAAAAAAAAAGAGAAAAAAAACTTTGCTTTGGTTTGGACCAGTCTATCTATGTCTGTAAGCAAGAAAGAAATTGGTGTGTAAAGCTATGGTGCATCTTTTTCCTTTGGTTCATCTAGGAAGAAAGGAATGTTAGACCCTTTCAAGTCACACTTGTTCTCTTGAACAATGATATTCTGGAAATTGTAACCTTATTGTCAAATTGTCAATAAAGAAAGTTGAATTTATTCTATTAGTAAATCATAAGACTATTTTTGATTTTCATAAAATCTTCAAGATGTTAAACTTATGTATAACAAAAAAAGAAAACAAATAAAGAGAACCATTACCCCATTTCAATCTAAGTCTACCATATAGGTGATTTATAAACAAAGCTTACCACCTGACACCTGTATAGCATAAACATTATCAAGGTTTAAACTCCAAGTTTAAACACCTGTATGCCTATCCAACCCAAATATGTTGGAAAATAAACTCCAGTAGTTTTGTGAATGTCTCAAAACTACTGGAGTTTCCTTTGGAACAAGAGAACTTATGGCATAATGTAATTGCAATTATTCATGGCATGGCAGACAACGGATGGGACGTTGGTCTTGATCCTAGGGCAACAAGGGCTTCTCCTTGGAAAGAAATTCACAGTTTGATGATGCTTGTATGGGTAACAAAGTATGTTTCTGGGAGGATATCTGGCTTGGGGACATTCCTATCAAAGAGAAATTTCCACCTATCTATTCTTTATCCCTCAACAAAGGGAGAGTGATTTCTTCAGTCTTGTTAATGAAAACTCTTGGGATCTAGGATTAAGGAGAGTGTTAAGGGATTATGAAATGGGCTTGGTAGATGAACTTATCTCCCTTCTTAATACTACATTCTTGGACCTCTCTTGTCAGGACAGTAGGATCTGGTTAGAGTCCCCTTCTGGCTCCTTTACCTGTCCCTCTTTCTTCTCCGCCCTCCTTCAATCCTCGCACCCAGGAGGCTCTTTTCCTACAAAGGAAGTCTGGTGTAATCTTGTACCCCCAAAAATAAGAGCCTTCTGCTGGGAGGTGGCGCTCTAGAAAATTAATACTCAGGATAATTTACAAAAAGGAGGCCGAATCATCCTCTCCCCTCATGTTTGTTGCCTCTGTTTGGGAAATGGTGAGACAGTAACACATCTTTTACTTTCTTGTCCCTTTGCTTCTTGTGTGTGGAGTTGGTTTTCTTCCTTATTTGGCTGCAGGTGGATCCCTTCCCCGGATGTGACAAGCCTTTTCAACCCAAGTTTCTTCCTGCTATCAAAGAAAGGGGAAGAGTGATGTGGAGGGCAATAGGAGCAGCCATTCTTTGGTCTTTATGGGAAGAAAGGAATAACAGAATATTCCAAGGGGCACAAAGATCAGTAGAACAAATCATTGACTGCGTAGCCATTAAAGTCATACATTGGCTGAAAGTAAGTGACTTATTTAAAGATTTTCAGTGGATGATATACAAAGGGTTTGGTCAGCAGTGCCAAACTCTTCAACCAGACACAGCCTGTTCTTCAGCCTTCTTGGGACACCTGCAGCACAACGAAGGGTAAAATTAAATTTTGTTGGAAGCTCCATGGGTAATCCAAGATCCTCGGGAGCTAGGGGAGTCTTTAGGGATGGGGAGGGCAGAATGGTGGTACTATACTCTGCTCCCATAGGAGTGGGAGACTCTATGAGAGCTGAAATTTTGGCTCTCCTACAAGGCTTGAGATTTGCCAAGCAGTGGGAATTTCAGAAATTGGAGGTGGAAGGGGACTCTAAATTGTTAATAGGGTGGTTGCAAACAAAGAAGTTGGGTGTATGGAAGTTTAGACAGCAAATAAGGTGTAGAGAACACTGATGTGGGCCCCACAGCAGTGGTCCCCATTGTGTTTGTAGGACAGCATGTGTAGTTATTTGTTTCAGTTATAGTAGTGTCAGTTTGGGGCTGTTTTGAGTTTCTTTCCTCAGGGGGAGCACAGTGAGAGTGGGGCTGTTTTGAGTTTCTTTCCTCAGGGGGAGCGCAGTGGGAGTGGGGCTGTTCCTTTACCTATTCCACTGGGTGATGAAGGCTGTTGTGGTGAGGGTGGTCAGAGGGATCAGGAGTTGAGAGTTTATCATAGGCGATGCAGGCAGGTTGATCCTAGTCATCGGCAGTCCCGGCCAGCTTCAGTTCCTTCTGCGGCTCCAGATCCAGAGCCTACTGAGACACCTTCCACTGTTGCCACTTCCCCTCATGTGGATGACCTTGATCTTCCTATTGCCATCCGCAAAGGGAAA